ATCACAAATATTTTATTGAATATGAATTTGGAAAAATTCAGATTATGGACGATAATTTTTTATTATTATTTCTATACGCAATTCTTATTTCCTTCGAATTATTTTGATATTTTTAAAAGTAGTGGTTTCCTATGTTTGCAATATTATAGATACTGTATAATATTTACGCATACCAATCGATTACCTACATAACTTTCGATTTTTAAATGTTTCTCATTTTAAAAATAATCTGTTAAATGTATTGTTAAATTATATTTATTGATATAGATAAATTAAAGTTCTTTTAACAGAATTTTTAGAAGGGTTTAGTAAAGTATTCTAATATTGAATTTTTTCCCAAAAATAAATCGATATTTTCTAAACGTTTAGAGTAAAGCTTGTACTTTATGATTAAAAAAGAGATGTAGAGCCATGAAAACAATTCATTTAAAAGCGAAATGTTGTTTATTTAGTACAGAAATTAAAATAATATTATTATAATATTATTAAAAGATTAAAAAATAGCAATGTCATTGCTTAAGTTAGCTGATATTTACATGACAATATCTAATCGCCTATCGAAAATTATAAATATGCTCGACAATGGCATATTTTATATCGATTCATTGCATTGCGAACAATAAATCCATATCATTCTAACATTTTCAAAAAGCAAGCCACAGAAAAACATGCATTCTCCATTCTCTTTAATGTCGAAGTCCGTTCAGGTAACAATCTTAGTAAATTCTTTCGTTCGAGTTATTATAAATTCAATTTAAATCAAAGTGAGAAAATCGAGTTTGAGTTTATTATTTTATAGTTACGGAAATACATTTTCTGCGAAATATAAACAAATGATTTGATATTATATACACAGTCTTAGATAACTCCATAATTTTGGCTCATTATAATAACATTTTTTATTATAAATTTACATTTGTACTGTACAATATCTAATTGAATTTATTATAGATTGATGTGTGTAATAAGATTAAATCGTTCGTCTTTTTGATTTTAATATCTGAGAAATCATACCTTCAAAAATGCAGTTGTCGACAATCTTTATGAAATTCTATGGAATCCAATGAGTTGTTTATTGCTTTAAAAATTTATTCAGAAATTTTAATTTAGTTTTCGCCTATAATTTTCAAATATATTTATTTAATAAGCTTCGTTACAATGCTGTTAAATATTCTAAACGAAACTTACGGTACTTGTATCTCATATTCGGCCTTTTTATTGTTTAGAATAATCGTTTTTGATAGTGGTTCTTGTGCTATAAGAAAAAAAAAATATTTTTATTTTTTATTATAGAAATAGTTTAGGCTAATGTTTTAAAATGGAGCCGTAATGAGAAAAATCTTCTTAAAGTGTAGAAGTGACATTTGCCAGAAATAGAATCAAAATACAAATCTACAAAAATGGTGTAAATGAAGCATTTGTTTTTACAAATTATAAATAAAATATTAAAACAGAAAAAAGAATTGAAATATCTACGAATATATTTGAAAACAGTACAGAACGTTCTGCAATGCAAGCAATCACGAGTAAGCAAATGAGGTATCAATCTCTTATGTTAGCAACAATACATTTTCAGACAATGACTGCATTAGACAACTTCCTTGACGTCAAACTACCTGAATCAAAGTTGCTCAAAGGTATACTAAAGATCAAATTTAATCAAAGTTATCATCATCATCAGTCACTTTAAGTCCCAGCTGTCCGGTTGAGACGTTCGCATTTCAAATGGGTTTATTTCGTGATTAGTCTTTGGAAACGGGGAAGATATATTTTTCAGGTTTTCAGATTTGTAACAAGAAGGCGTGACATCTTACTTATTGCATGAAAATTCAAATTCTTCTTATTTACATTTAGATACTGTAGCTGTAAATCTTTTATCATTTTGCTTTGCCTATTGCTTTTGCATGAAGTTTATTTTGCTTTTAAATTCTTTGTATAAAACCTTTATAATTCATTATCTCGATAAAATGAAATTTTACAATTTTAATTTTCTGAAGTGTATATAGAAAGTATTAATTAAGATAAATAGTTTTAATTAAGAAAATTTTGTATTACACCAATCGTAAATATTTACGCATCACGATTCTGTTATGAAAATGAATACCATAAATATATTGTATAAAAAATTTAATTTAAAAATTATTTATAAAAGTTTTAAATTTATTCTTCACTGTAAATATTATAAAAATAAATTTTAATGAGGATGAAAATACTAATACATTATTATTAAAGTTAACTACAGAATTCACAGTTTGACTTCTTCTTCTCAACTTATTTACATTAATTTAAAGAAAAAAATAATAAGAATCTTTTAATAAATTCTAAAATAATATAAATTTGTCTCCAAATAAAACAATAGAAAATTAGTTTAATTGATTTTCTTCTCGGAATTATTTTCAAAGTTTCTTTTCAACGATGTACTGTACAATATAAGAATATTTTTTCCTTCTTATATATATATATATATTCCATTTCTTAAAATATATTTTTATTCTTTATTTATTTGTATCAAAAATGTTTTCCCATAATATCATACAATATAATGTACTGTACACAAAAAACTTCCTTTCATCCGACACATGATTTATTGTTTAGTTTGAAGATAGAGCGTACAGTACAATATATATAGAGAATTAAAAAATATATTAAATCGATTTTATGTTCAAAGAGTTATTATAAGATATCACTAAGATAAATAAAAAAATTATGAATTTTATACTACCGTATCAAATAGTTTCTTCCCACAAAATAATCTGTCAAATTGCAGTTTTGCAGAAACTTTTCCGAGTTTATCAACAAGAATGATGATCTCAAATGGTTGAAATGAAGTGGAAGAAATGCTTAAAAAAAAGATAATCATGTCGAATACACTCTATTTGACAAACGGACTAGATTAATGATCAAACTTTTATACTTAATGTTACAAAATTCTTGTTGAATAATGCACGGTAAGACTCGCATTTTATTTCGTATCATTAATTTAAATCATTATTGAGAATAATTAAATAAAAAAGAAATATTATTGCAAAAAATTAAAAAAAATCATTTTTATTAAAAGAATATATGCTTTACATTAATCAAAGAATTAAATATTATAAACTATTAAAAATTATTACGTTTTATAGTAAGAAATGAAATTTAATTAAATCTCACTTCTTACTAAAGATGAAAATCAATTTTTTTTAATATTATATACTCGTAAATTAATATAAAATAGACCGATTATAGTTCAGAATATAAAAAAGATTTATTGATGAACGAATTCTTTTTAAATTCAAAGTTCTTGTGATATTTACTCCATTTAAAAGTAATAGAAAAATGAGAAATTTGTAGTAAGTTTATCAATTATTGAAGATTACAGAAAATCTCGGAACGTTGTTGCATTACATAATTATACGGTGTAGGTGTCCGTTTTCGTTTAGTCTATTTATATAATAAGAATTCAGTCATTATCGTTCCATTTAGCTATCGAGTTTCGAGAATTTCGAAAAATGATCATCTCCAATCTTTTATTTTTTCTTTTATAAAAGAACAAAAATGAAGTCGATCGTCCTTCAAATTGTTTCCATCGTCTTAATTCTTAAGGTGAAGTTATTTATTGATAAAAATCCATCTAAATTATTATTACTTTCTCTTAAATTTTTTTTTAAATATTTTTAAATCTTAAAATTAAAATATTTATATACAGTTTTTTAAGTTATAGAATATGAAACTATCAATTGCACTTTTACAAATTTGGGATTATCTTTAATTTCTATATTACTCGAATTAATTTTATATGTCTTCGACTTATTTATTTATTTATTTTTCGAGTAAAGAATTTTAAAATCTTTCGTTTGATTAGATTATTTTTTTCAACTCTTATAAGTGATAATTAATGTAATCACGGCAGGTGGGCCACACGTTAACCTAAAATATCGTATTATATATTTTTTGTTTCGTTGCAAAACTTCAAGTTCACGTGTGAGAAAGAACAAATTTTCTAGCAGCTGTTTAATGTAAGTAAAATGTTTATTTATAAGTACAGATTCGTCTGTAATTTTCTCATATTTTATAAACCATCAATTGGGAAAATAATTAACGTAAAACAGAGATAGAAAGAACCCTTATAGTTTTGGTTAAAAAAAATGTATGTAAAAATCGAGTTTAAATATCCAAGAAAAAGAAAAATGACGGATTTAGTATTCCACTTGAACTTTTATCTAAACAGCTAATTTTAAGTTTCGAGACTAGAAAAGATAATCTTGTAGTTGAACGATGCACGAGTAGAAAGAAAACAATATCGATAGCATCATTTAAATTATTCCGTATATATTATAAGCGTATCAACAATCGATATAAACTGTATCGTGTCATAAATATTGCAAAGAGTTCGTGCAAACTCAGTAGAATATAAATAATCCATAAATAGTAACAAAACTATTAGAACAAAACCATCTAACTTAATCGAATTAGAGTCGTAAAAATAATTCGAGGCTCGCATCCTTTTGGGAGTAATTTTATTATATAAACCGATATCAGGATCTCAACGATTTTGTCTCTTACACAGTTTATCTATTAATATTTTTCTAAGTTTTAATGGATTTCATAGATGCGATGAAGTGATAATGGAATTTCAGCTGCTATCTAAAAGCGTAATTTTGTACGTTGAATAATTATATTCATTCTTGTGATAACGTCATTATAATAATAGAAAGTACTAATGCATCACTAACTGTTACTATTGTACTTATTTGTTATGGCTATTAAACACGAAAGGGCATTTCGGAAATAATCGTAGTTTGATTTAAAAATAAATTTCCTTATTTTCTCCCATAAATTTAAGCTTCTTTATGAGTATCTTAAGTGGTTTCTCACCGTGTCATCGCATCACTTTTCTGAATCTGTGAGATAGATGAGGAGGGAATGCGTGTCCACGTGATTATCCGTTGCTATGGTGACGAAACACTAACTGAGAATGCGCACTGCCGACTGATTCACCTCTCTCGTGGACTGCCAACACTCAGCAAAGTGTACAGGTCACTTTAGGACCGGTGTCGATAGACTGAAGTTTCAAACCATGGAACCTGCCATGTCTCTTCCGGACCTATCTAATCCAGATAGAAGTTCTTTAAAGCAGAGTGTAAAAACCAAACAATCCAATGGTCATCCAAAAGGAATTATAGTGATGGTGACATCCGACGATGTCGAAGAACAGAAACCCAAGAAAAGTTCTCCGCGGGAAAGAAATTCTACGGAGCTTCAACTATTATCTATTCCAGATGGAAGTTGCACTCATAATTGTCGTAGACATTCCTATCAAGTGGACATGAATGAACGTCACCATCGCAAACATCACAAGAGGAGCAGGAAAGGTTCTTATCCGGAAACGGAACTGTACAGGGGACGAGTGGTTCCTGATATATCCAGTGATACCTTATCAACTAGCAGTTGTCGCCATTCCTCCAGGTGTTCCAGCATTAGTAGTGTCAATCACAGCAGGAGATCGTCCCATTCCGATTGCGGCTCTCAGAGACGAGCTTCTTGTCAAAGTTATCATCATCGAAGAAGTAGTCATTCTATATCCGGAGGAAGTAGTCACAGTCGGAGACCATCTGCAGCTCCTTCTATAGCTAAAGAAGAGCAGAACAGTCCTGAAAATCGGAGAAGAAGGACTATCATCTTCCTAATTGGTTTTGTATCATGTTTCATCTTACTCACTAGTGTTATTTTGATAGCCGTTAGCCTAACCCTTTCTCCAACCATAGACGAGTTAGGTAAGTTAGAAAAGTAATTCTACTCCATTTTATTACCTAATAAAACTGTAAATTCTTACAAATTAATCATATAAACAACTAATGTCCTAAAAAAAAAACTCGAGTAGACACTTTTATAATCATATATAAAAGTAAGCAAGATACAATCTGTAAAGTTTGATTAACGCTCTATTGTTATAAAATCAATATATTTAAAAACTATTTTTAACTGAGCTTATTATATAATCATTGTTAAACAATTTTAATAAATTTTAACCGAGAGGAAATTAACTGTTAGAGAAGTAGTTGCTGATGAGAGTCTCATCGATGGGTCTGATTTTGAAAATGTCAAAAGGCTCGTTGAATGCGGTTATTGACATACTTTCACTGTTCGTTAATTTATTCTAGCTCCTATTATTTATACTAAATAATAATTAATTCGATAAAGTTTAATTTCATTTATGTACATATATATATTTTTTTAATTTTAAACTAAGTTCGAACTAATTTCAATATGGGCGGAGATCAATCAAGGGAGAAAAATTAAGTAAAAGTTATAAATAAGTTATGTTTAGTTTAAAACTTTATTAAAATTGTAATTATTCCTACATAAATTAGCCTCATATTTATAGTTTTTTATGCAGTTACAAAGGTTATATTATATATTCTAGAGGTTAATATAGTTTATGAATCATATATATATAAACATCACTCATCATATATTATTTCATATCTATTAAATCATACAAAGTTGCTGGCAGCGAAGACAAGTCACTTCTACATTATTCAACTATGTGATTAAGCTGACAAGAGTATTCAATTTCTGTCCAAATATATGTCCCCGGGGCTTCAGTCAATTGATTATTATTTAAGAGATTGTCGGAAGTTATGAATATTTTCATTTTAAAATAAATTTCATGCAAAATATCATGATTTATGATTTTTTCCCCTCTCGTGATATTCCGTCCAGGCTAGTGATTAATGAAAAAGGTGATCCAGTTATTAAAATAGAGGCGTAAGTTCGAATATAATAATTAAAAAAAGAGATATTTTTAAGAATTTTGCTAGCTTCTAATATAAACAAAAATTCGTTTTAGACTGTCATACATTTTGTATTTAATAAGTTCGAAAATAAAAATTTTCTTTCTCCAGTTTATTGGATTTTAGTTAAATTCCAGAGTGGAATTTTCACTCCTTAATAGATGATAGATGACTTACACACTTCAGCAATTTCTGACACGGATTTGTTTATGTAATAACCTTTCTATAACAAAATATTTATGCCATTTAACCTTCTGTTTCAGTAGAAAATATTCGAATTATGCATTAGAAAACTGAATTAAATAATATTTTCTAGGTTAAATATGACATTATTGATAAATTCTTATTTAGCACGGTAGATTTAATTTTGATGTGTAAATTCATAAATTTTGACGAAGGCCGAGGCTAATTTTATTTTTGAAATATAAATACAAAGATGGTATTTTTATAAATAGTCTTATATATTTTTTTTAAAAAAATTGCAGATTTAAGAGTATATTTCACTTTAAAGAATCGCTAATGAATCAGTTTTCTAGGCGAATTAAGTAGCTTGCCTACATAGATGTTAAATACTAAAAAAGTAATAGTTGTAATAGTAATAGTACATAAAAATAAATAGAAAAAAGAAAATTGAATGCGAAATGTTTAATAGTTGTAAAATACATTTGCATAGTCCACGGCCATCGCCATTATCATTTATTCATGTGTAGGATATGATTGAAGAACTTGTGAGCAAAAAAAACCCGAATATTTATTTATTTACGAGAAAATACAGCGATGTCACAACGATAACGATAGCTGACCCCCCTAATAACAAACAAACAACAAACCCATAAAGATAAAAATAAAACTAAAAGTACAGTCGAAGATAAATCCATTTCACTTTTCCTCCTTTCCATCCCTTCTACCACTCTTCTTCCCTTTTCATCTTTCCTTTCTTTAAAGTAAAATATAAAAAATAATACCAAATTTTTTGTTTTACATATGATAATGAATTCTGGCGTAAAAACNTATTTTCTAATTACTCGAGTTGAAATTTTGTTCATTATTTCAAACTATTATATAAATATATTTATCTAAAGAGCTAAAGCACTTAAGTAATTTTAATTATTTAACAATAAAATTGTACAAAATAAAAAATAAATAAATAATATAAATTTCCTCAAATTTTGCTGTAATTATGAAAGTAATTTTATTATTTATTTAACTATACCTATATTAATATATAAAAGTTTTCAAACGTTATAAAATCGTATTATTCGTTAAAAAATCATTATAATTAGTAATTAAATAATCTTTTTTAAAGGTGGAATGGTAATAATTGAATTAAACGAATGATTACTTTTTTGTATAAAAAATTTGAGATTGTTATTATGATTTATTATCACAATTAAAATTGTGAGCATCTCTCGAGGAATGTATAAGAAAAAAGGTATTTTATGCTTCCAGATGTTTTTGACAGTAGCTAAACATACAAAAGTCCAAACAGTTCGCCTTTAATACAACATACAAAAGCTACTTGTTGAGTAAAAATGCCTATGCACGGATTGGAAAAAATAAAACATTAGGACAAACAAATCGAAAAGATCAATATTATATATATATATATATATAAATCCATTAAAGGTTTCATTTTTACAAAAATTTCTTTTTTATTTTTCGGTAAGTTGTTTTATTCTATAAAATGTATCTATATTTACTACATCGCTTCCAGTGTTTGGTAGAGTCCATTGTGATTACATCTTGTGCGGACATTCAATTTCGCATTCAATTTGTTGGTGTAAATAAAGTAGGAAATATAAAAATAAAAATATAATAGTAAAGAAAAGTTCGGTTTTTATAAAAGAATAAGCCATTAAAATAATCTGTAGTGAATTCTAGACAAAATAGAACTCTTCATTTTAAGGATTAACTAGAAAGTTTTAAAATTGTAGAAGTAGATTACTTTTTAAGTTTTTAATCTTGTAATGCTTTTTTTTTTTAAGGATTTTGATTTTTATATTCCCTTAAAACCTAATAAGAAAATTTTCCTTTATTTAGAATCCACTAGTGCCCGAGTGGATAAAACCTCGGGACTGGGTCATGGGTTCGCGCCTTAACAACAGGCTGGTCATGTGGGAGTCTTCCGGGTTTTCTTCGTGTATCTAACACTTAAATTTTTTTAGGAACCGGTTCCCGTAGAAAGTCCTCCCGGGAAAAATCCCCAGGTGCTGCGATGCCACCAATCCATTCCTTTGTTTAGTTATTCGCAAAACTTTAAAAATCAAAACTGAAAAACTTATTTTGAGAAATACCAAAATGTCTCAATAATCATTTATATATAACATTTTATAAATTCTTATCTCTTTTTATCTTTCGAATTGTTTAAAATGTTTTTCACAATTAAGGAAAATATGCAGAAAGGTAAAATTAATTAATTTTCTTTTTGTATAAAATATCTTATAAACATTCCTCATTTTCTGTTCTAAAATTAATTATTCACCAATTATTTTTAACCTATTTTTTATAATGATCTTTTAATATTCGAATTAAGTTTAATTGTGTTCTTCAAATGCCGGCATTTCTAAATAAATGTTTCTTTTTTTCTTTATTATAAATTTACCAAAAATTAAATTTTATTAAAATATACACTTTTACTATAAATTCGAATTTATATATTTAAATTCTTAAAATAATTATTTTTATAAAAATATTTTATTTTTGTAATTCTAAATTATATTTTTTTTGTTATTTCTTAATTATTTTACTATATTTAATGAATTCTTTAATTTCATTTTTAAAATTATTTTATAATGCACTTTTAATTTTTCTTCATTTTACATTTATTTTATTATATAACGTTTTGATTTCAATTTATCTCATATTTTATTTATTATATTTACATTATTTTTAAAAATTTAATTATATTTTCCTTCATTTAATACTTCACGAAGTACGTATTTTATTATTTTTACGTATAATAAACTAAATCATATCTCTTTTCTTATATAATAATTTTTTTATGTGCTTTATTATTATTGTACAGTTTAGGTTAAGCCATACATAATAAGATTTTTTATACTTTTTTCCTGAAAAATAGATTATGTATAATACATTGATATCATATATACAATTTTGAAAACTTTTCAGTTAAATTTATTTAAATTTTTAAATGTATTACATAGAGGAGGGGAAAAATACTTTTAACTGAACCTATATAATAATAATAATTATTATAAGTTTAGTTAAAACTATTTTCTTCTTCCTCTTCCATTAGTTTATCCTATTTCTGTATGGGATAAGCTAATGGAAGAAGAAGAAGAAAATAGTTTTAATTATATATATACTATTCATTTATTTATTATTAAGATATTGAAATTATTTTATATTTCATTATTTATATTACTATATTTCGACTTAACTCTGTAGTTTTATATTTTATTATATATTGTGTACAGGATGCATTAGAACAATGTTTGAAATGCTGTAGAGAGCTTCAAACATTGTTCTGACGCATCATCTATGTTTATTTTCATTAATTTTTATGTTATATATTTAAAAAATCATTATTCAAATTATTTATTTTTATTTCATTCGTTATATAATTGATTATTTTCTTATTTATTCGCTATTTGAATCATTATCGTGTCTAAATTATTACATTTTGATCATTTTTCGCAACCTCATCCATTACATTTTTGTTTATTTTTACATTCTCCTTTATGTTTCTTAACCATTTTCGCACTTAATCCATTATGTTCTATCATTTTCCTTCTTTTTTCTTGCATTTTCAACATTTTTTTCTTTCATAATCATTAATATAATTTGAATCATTTGTGTGTATTTTATATAAGGTTTATATTATTAAATTTCTCGATATATTTTTTTTAAAATAAATAAATGATGTAAAATTTAAAATAAATCATTTAATTTATTTTTAAGAATTAAAAAGTTTAAGGCTTTAAAAATTCATAAAAATATTTAAAAAACAAAATCATTTTAGTTTCCATGCACAAGATGGCGCGAAGAATAACACTAAAAATTTAGTCACTCCAAGACTTTTGTTAATTGAATTCGAGTTAGTGATTATTTTTAAATACTTCTTTAATTTAAATATATAAATTTAATTATATCAATTAATTATTATAATACGAGAAATCCAGAGAAAGAAAACATTTTAATTGGAATTAATTTAAAAAAATTAATTCTAATTGACATTTTAAATTAAGTTTCTAATTAAATTGACTATTGTTTAATTATTTGTTTTAAATAAACGACCAATTTATTCTTGTAATAAAATTTTATTTCAAATTTAAAAAGATTTTAAACTTATTAAGCGAGATTCAATAAGAAAGTTTTATTTGAATTAGTTTCTAAATTTAAATTTTTATAAAGACTTGGAGGCGGTTATTTAAAAAGATAAGTTGTTCATTCAACTATTTGAACTTTTTTAAATGAATGCATAAGTGATTTATTTATTTAAACCGACTTTCTTAAATCCAGCCGCGTCAGTATATTTTGACAAACATTTCCCGCAGCGTAATTTGTTTCCAATGATCATAATGAAATTTCATGTAGCGCCATTACTCACACAGACAATAAACAACAAGTATTGTTAACTTGTGTTCTAAGTATACCTGGCAAAGTGCAGAAATAACCGAAAAGTGCACTAGGTATAGCATAAGAGGAGGAGACAAATCATAGCTCCTGCTATAAATAGAACATTTCTGGAGATGTACAAAATCTGGCAGATCAAGAGAGTTTACTTGGAAAAGATCCAGAAAACATCCGGTACGGGTCGAATTAGTCCCAACTAATTCTAAGTGAACAAAAATGAGCGACGAACTATGCTCCGTTCATAATAGTTTAGCGTCAATATCTCCAGGCTCTACTCCGAAAACGATCGATAAAGAGTTAAAGGAGGCATTAGTTAAAAGATTGGAAACTAAAAGGTTATATCGAAGAGACAGTGACCGAGAGAAAGGGAGGAGAAATAGTAAGAAATTAAGAAGGTCAGTATCCGCCATCGAAGCCAGTAGATCACGCGAAAGACCAAGAATAAGAAGAAGTATTAGCGAAAGATGTCCGGACGAAAAACTTTTACATATTCCTAAAAGATGTAAGCAATCTTCGAGAAGAAGTCGATCGCGGCCTTCTTCCGAATTGTCAGTAGGTTCCGAATCGAGTTGTAGGACTGCTTCCAGTCAACCAGCATCCGTAGCCGAACTCGTTGCTCAAGAATTGGGTCTAAAAGAGATACCGGGCAAGGGAGCTAAAGAAGCAAGAAGAAGAAGAGCCGTTTGGGCAATTACTCTAACAAGTGTGGCATTGTTGACAGCTAGCGTCCTCCTAGTTGCCATTACATTATTATTGTCTCCGGCCGTCGATGCTCTGCGTAAGTACTACACAGATTCTTCGTATTAATTATGTTTATAACAAAAAATCGTGTAAATATAATAAATTTCAAACTTTTTAATGAATTATTTAATTTCAAACTGGAAATTTCCGTAATATTCTACTAAAAAGTCAACGAACTTTTCATTTACTTGTTCATATTTTTAGCTAAATAGTGTAATTTAAGTCGGCTTATAATTAAAGGAATATTATCCTTTATAAATAGTTTTTATAAAAATACTTTTTACCAAATTTTTAAATTATTTAATAAGTTTATTAACATATTTATAACTTTTTACATTATAAAAAGTCTTACTAATTGTTAAAAAGATTCAGTTTGTTCAAAGCCGAAAAGACAAACTTGTAATGCAAATAGTAGAAAAGAGATGTGAAGCGTGAGAAGTTGACAGAAGTTTGACAGTTAAAATATCGATTCTTGCTTTATTTCTAAAGCACATACAGCAGTAATGGAAGAGAAATATTTCATAAAGACAACGAATGTAGAGATGCTAAAGTTGTTAAAAGATTTAATTAAATTACTTCAGTCGAGAACAAAACTATTTCATTCAATCTAAGAAAAGTGTTTTCATAAAGAAGATTATTTATTATACATAAAAACTTTCTTCTTAAAAATTTGTTTCACACTTTTTCAAGAATAAATATTTTAAACTGCAAAAAACATAATAATTTTCTTTTTCATTGAAATTTGATTTTGGTTATCGTGAAAATGCAAATTTTATACTAAAAGAAAAGCTTCATTTTTCAGGCGAGTTTTAGTTGATTTTTTATTTAAAAAATATACAGTACTTCGATATTTTGTCGATATTTTTGTAAAAAAAAATTCATTAATATTTTTTGTACAGGAAACCAACGCATTTGTTTTTCTTCTTTTAATGTTTATCATAAAAGAAAATTCCCGAAAACGCAAAAGAAACATTTATAAAAAACAAACTTTTCCAAATATTAAAAAGAAATATCGAAATAAATTCTTATAATAATGTAATTTTATTCTTTAATCGTGTAGACCTTTTATAATCATTTTTTTAATTGCAATTAAACATTTTAAGTAATTATAAAATAGATGATAAATGTGTTATTTAGTGTTTTCTTTTTACGTTCCAATATCTTTTAATCTATTATTTTTCACATATGTTCTAATAAATATAGTTATTTATCTTGTTTCACACGTGTGAATGCGAATAAAAATGTTTTCGTTTCGCTTCTTTATTTAGAAACAGCGTTTGATCCTTTGACGTAGCTGTATAGGATATATAACATAATAATAAACCATGTCATTTATAAATACTTTCAAATATATATATAACATTTAACGCAGACAATTATTAACATAAACATCACTTTTTATGTTTTTATGCTTAAAATATATTTGTTACTTTCTAAATTCATGTAATAAATGAATAAAAATTAATATAATGACCAAAAATATGTTAATTTGTTTTCTTTTGAGAAATTTAGAGATAAGTAAGTGCTTGTTTCGAAAATTAAAAATACGAAAGAAAATTTAATAATTTAAAAAAAAAGAAAACTGATTTTTTATCCTCTTCAAGTTTTTGACGTAATATTTTATTTTTGAATTTTTTGCTATTAAATATTGTAAAAATGGCATATTTTTAAAGAAATTCGAGACTGATTTTATTTATATAAAATTCAAAGAAAAAAATGTACTTTTATAATAATAAAACACCGAACAGTTTTCATTTTTGGAATTTAAAAATATTAAAAAAAAAAATCTAATCGTTAATTTTGGAGATTAAACCTCAAAATAAATATCAGAAATTTAAAAAATGGACAAAAAATTAATTAAGGATTATTTTAAAATATGCTTTTAGCGATTAAAAATGCGAAAAAAATTTCAAATTTTCGCAGTTTAAAAGAGAAGGAAAAAAGTAATTTAAAAGAAATTTATGCACTTTTCTCAAACTTAATCTGTGTAGAAGCTGAGTAATTCGAGAATAATAATATAATTATTTTTTAAAAAACTAATTTATCTCTAGAGTTGAATAACAAATAATGAATAAAATGATCGATTTACAAAATATTAATTAATAGAAAAATTTTGGCATAAAATTTCATAAATATCAAATTTTATTCTATAACTTTTCTTGATGAGAAAAATGAAATATAATATTTCTTTTATTTTTCTTTATTTTGTATCCTTTAAAAATTTAATAAACGTATGATAGATTTCAGTAAATTTTATAAATTTTAAGATATTAAATATTGTTTGATAGAAGAATTTCATTTAGAATTTTAAAACAATTAAATTTGTTAAGAAATAATATAAATATTTCATATTTCTTGATAAATTTTTCAAGGATTTCTGATGAAAACAATAGAAAATGTAGACCTGTATCTATATATATAAATTTTCTTCAGTTGTATAAATCTAAAATTTGTATCGATCAATGGAATCGCTACATTTTTGGATTCAGAATTGGTAAATAAATATAATACATAAAATTTCAGTTTAGTTTCTAGAAATAAAATTGTTGAAAATTATAAAAGAAATATGAAATGTTATCGAAATATCATATTAAAGTTCAATAACAGCAAATAAAAAAAATATATAAAATTGAGAAATATAAAGTTCCTTTTAGCTTTATACGTTGAAGATGAAAGGAAAAGCTGATCGAGAAGATATAACTGAAGTTCACCAATGTCATAATATTTTTGTCATAGAATGATGAAAGATCCTATGGGATTTGATGGCAGGGAAAAATAAAATAAATAAAGTACTTCTCTAATATCCATTTCTAGAAAATAGAAATGGTATTTTCCAGAAAGTATTTTCATGTTTCAATTTTGGAATTTCAATAAATGAGTAATAAACAATAAGGAAAAATAAATTTTTAATCGTGCTTAAGGAATCGGAATTGAATTATTTTGTTTTTATACATTTTATTTCATAATAGCAATCGATTCCTTTCTCTTTCTTGGCCATATGTTGTTCCTAAAATAGTTTTTTGATGTTATTTTTGTTCTTGTCTGCCATTACTAATATAGACATTAGAGAAAGAAAAGAATTAAAAACTATTCAAATTCAAAATCATGAATAAATTTACAATTTTTATTGTTATTTTCTGCTTTTTTTTATTGTCAAAAACATTTAAAAAATCCCGTCTTTAGAAATATTTAAATTTATGATTTGTATAGTCTGACCATCTTATATGAATTATGTCCATGTTTATGTTAGATATTTTGCGCTTACCTTTTAAAATTTTTTAACTCGAGAAGTTGTTTAGAACTTATAAATCAAAGAAGCGGGCAACATCAAAGGAATTCTATTTACAAGAAGCTTTTTTTCTATTTATCTATTCTTATCATTTTATTTAGTTTGACACAAAATTTATAAAATAATTTTATTCTGCCAATTTATTATATAAGAAAAAATAAGCATTTAAAAATTTAAAAGTTTTTTATTATGATTTATTTAATACCCTAAAATTAATTTTTTAGTTGATAGATTAAAGATTTTAGGGCATAATACAATATAATATACTAATAAAACTTGGATGTCTTTATTATTTAAATATATCTTTCAACAATATTTAAAGAACTATCGATATTAATATTTTCACTCTTCGTTTTATATTAAATTAAGTTTATATTTCAATTTATTTAATTTTGTCTTCTTAATTTTTTAGTAATTCTTGTGAATATAATCAAGTTTTCTTTCATGATTCGAACATTTAAAAAATAAATTTAATGTTAAAATAATTTTAATATATTTTCAAGAAGTAAAAAAAATTATTGGTCGTGTTTGTCGAAATTGATTGTGGGGATAGAGTGAACTATCTTACTATAGTGCATTCATGCACACACACACATACATGATTAAATTCTATATTTGGTTATGTTTATCGGATTTAAGAATGGGGAGAATGATGGGTGTGGGCCACTCCCTAAAATATCATTAAAATGCATTGACTTAGGTATGTTCTCAAAGTTTCAGGCTTCTATCTTAATTAGAATTGGATGAAATTTGAGTTGCAAGATATGAGGACGATACAAAGCAAGTTAAATAAAAGCATTTAATTATATTAATTTTAATCTTAAATTAATTTAAAACAAATCACAAAAATCTTAAATTTACACAGATATAAATCTTTTTAAATTTAGTTTTGTGATTTTATTTTATTCATACTGATTGAGAAAAGAATAAGAAGAATTTTATGATATGTAAGATTTGTAGCAAATACTCTATATTTTATTATCGATGATTTGATTTTAAAATATGTACTTTCACAAAAATTTCAAATATATTTTACAAGATATGAAATGATTTTATTAAGTTATATAAAATACAAATATCGATAGCAAGAAAAATTCTATATTCGATATTTGTATTTTATATAACTTAATAAAATCTTGCACTTATACGAGAAAGCATCTTGTATACAGATTTAATAAGTAATAAATAAGTTACTTGTTAATTTAATTTTATGAATAAATCTATACTTGTTTGACATGGATGAAAGGAAGAAGCTTTTAGCATTTTGAATGAGAAAACGACCCTCAAAGCTATAGTAAACCTGATTCTATTTATAGCTCAAATTCTATAGCATATCTTTAAAGTCCCTACAGAATTTGAAAATCTTTAAATTGGGAAAATATCGAATTTTCGTAATTTCCTATTTGTATGCATTTCAACTCTGTAAGGAGGAATATAGTAGTTACGTGGTGTTAAATATTCACGTTATCTTGTTAATCATTAATAGAAAAAAAAACACTTGATTGCGATATTGCGGATGCAATCAAATTACAGGTAATTTTTGTGTCGATAAATGCTCCCACTGATGTTTATTGTTGTAATCTGGAATGACAACAAAAAAGTTTATTGAAGCTATTGTGTTTTATCTAGTTGTTAACTAAACGTGGTGAAGAATTCAAGTAAATATAATAAGTAGATACAGAATAGCTATATATGTATATATATAGAAAAAATTTCGGGGTAATTTCTGTATGTATGGATGTTAATGTGTGTGGGGAGGCACGATTTTGTTCACTCTCTTTGAAGCTTAATAACTCGGGTGCTTTTGGTCAAAAATTTCTGAAATTTTGCAGGAAAATGAGTGTATAGAGGGATTGATGTTATTAAATTTTGGTGATTAAAGGTCGAGGGGGTGGGAGATAAAAGGTCGTGTGTATCTCCAGTAGGGTCGGACTTAATTACGATTTTACTCGTTATTAGCATTTGTAATTTTTTTTATAATAACCCATCCCTACCTTCAAAATTAAGCTTTTTTGTCATTTTATAATAATTAAAAATATAAAAATCATTTTAAAATAAAGTATAATAACAGATGGCACCACCAAATGTTTCCGAGAAAGTTAAGCAACTCGTTACTGGAAATTTTATTCTAGAAAACTAAAACAATTTATAAACATTTATTTTTTGCAATTTTAATTCTTAGAAAGGCAATAAAATAATAATTATTGAACTTATTTTTATTTATCGATAGTAAAAGAGCAATATTTTTGTAAATTAATTTTTTCTGTTTTTTTTTTAATTAAATAAATAATAAAATATATAATATATAAAAAGAAATACATTGATATATAATATGAAAATTAAAAAACTAAATATGTAAACTTATTTATAAAAAAGTAGATCTAATAGAAGCAATAATAAGTATGGACTAATCTACAAATTATTTTACTATAGTTTGTAAATTAGTTCTCAAAAAATTAGACTCTCGAATGTTTAGTTATAACTTCTACGGTACAGTGTAGCCCAATAGTTAAGTAACCATGTTTTTATAAAAAAATTCACCAGTTTTTGATAATATACCAAACACAATTTGTACATTAAATAAGAAGGATCTCGCTTTAACAATTTTTGCAAAGTTAGTAGATAATAAAGTATTCGAATAAGACAGCAATTTAGTCTTTACAGCAGTTAACTGACTTTTGGTCCACCCTGTATAATATAATTTCAATATTTAATACTCTGAACAAATTTTGAAATTGATCTTAAAGACGTTGTATATATAAATTTAACTAATTTAGTAATTACAATACTTTAAATACGGTGCTTTCTTTTCTAGGCAGTTTGAGTAATATGTAACTAATTGTTTACCTCCATGAATTTTTAGAATAATGAATATAATAAAAATATTCAACGTTTAACACTTCAATGATCGAAATTGAGATGGGAATAAGTAAGTAAGATACAAAATATTTTTTTTTTTATTGTCTGCATCTGGGATTGAGTAGATAGAAATGACATTAGAACGTTCCAGTTTGTAAACAGAATCACGAATTCGATTTACAGAACCGAAATAATGACGACACGCAGCACCGAGCCGAGAATAAAGCGGTCCTGTACGCTAGCCACAAACGTCTACCTCTTGTAGGTTTCGATAAGCTAAATATAGTATCTCGATTACTGTCTCGTAACTAGATATAAGTACTCATAACACGAAAATGCAATAATCTTGGCAAATGATTAGGAGTCAGATTTCACCAACTGCCTCTATGTGTCTCTATTTACCAATTTTTCATCTTATACTAATCTGTAACTTGGACATTTTAATATTTATTATTATATTTTAAAAACTTCTTTCTTAATAAAGAATACTTATTATAACTCTTTGTAACTGTTATCTGTTTTTCTTTAGAATTTGTAACGCCTTAGGTTGTTGCCTAGTGAGTTGCACTGACCGACAACAAAGCTAGCCAGATACGTGTCTTGCATTTTTCAACAGGATCTGCTACTTGTTCTATACATAAAAATTGTAAATAGAAATTCTATTTTCTTTATCATTTTTTTTTTCCTTATTGGTCTAGAGACATACTCAAAACTATTTTTCTTCTGCTTAATATATATATATGTATATATATCTTACATTTTCCTCATAAGAAAACATACTTTCTTTATTACTAATTTAAAATTTATATTGTACATTCTTTTAATGTCAAGATGATATTCACTATTATTAATATTAAAGTAATGTTAAGCTAATATTCGTTATCCGAATAAATAAATTCCATTTCAGTTTGTTTTAAAATGAAATTCTTATAAACTTAAGGAATTTCTAAAACAAAGATTAAATAAATGAAATTTTTATTATAATTTTTTGTCGAAAAAATCAATTCTAATTATTTTTATTGGCGAAATTTCGTACATAAATTGGTCTTCGATTATAATAATGATTTCCAATCGAATTATTCTTATTTTAAGTCAAAACTTTAGTTTTTGATAATAGTATTATATAAATATTTTCTCTTATATTTATAATATTTTACTGGTTTCAAGAATGAAAATTCACAAAATTGTGAAAAATAAAATTTCAGGAATTTTATTTATTTATTTTTTAAATAAGAATTTCTCGAATTTTCATGGATAAAAATACAGTAAGAATTATTAATGTAGAAGTTGAAGTCATACTTTTTTCAAGAATGTAAATTTTATCCTGGATTATTTTTATATTCAGAAAAATAACAAAAGTATAAATGTGTATTTTCTAGTTTAAAAAAACTTCTGGATACTGTGACACGAGAATGCATATTCTTTAGAATGAATGAGTTTAGAGAGAAAGTGCTGACTCAATTTTCTTCTTTGTCGTATCTCTGACTTTTTCTTTCACTAAATTCTGACATTGACATACTTCTTAACGTCTTACAGTTTTCTTTTTCTAAATAAAAATACATTATATAAAGTTCTCATTAATTCTCTGTGAAGTTCTTTAACCAATGTTGTTATCGTTCCGAACGTTCGATCCGTTAAACTTATTTTTTTACCTCATTAAAAGAATCTTCTGCCTTTCATGTTAAAAATAGTCCGATGCAATTTATAAGACAAATGAATTTTTTATTATTTTTTTTTTTTTCGTAGACTTTATTGAAATAGTTAATTAACGAGAACTTAAAATGTGTTTCGCTCCATTAAACGTCTGTTTAGCCGAATAGTTATTAGAGAATCGTATTATCTTTCGCTTCAATTAACGGGTTGAAAGGTAGCAATTATTCAGTTATAGAACTTGGATAATATTTAATCATAACCTTCCAATGGTAAAGCAGAAATTATTTAAAATATAGAAGTTTTTTTTCCTTGCTTGGATGCGTGATTAATTAGAATTTTGATCACATGAAAGTGGCTTTGTGTTTAAAAATTGCTACATCATCACTTTTATATTTAAAAAATGAAAGTTTATTATGTATTAAATTGAAGATAAACTTACAACAAAGTAAAATTATAGATGTTAAGATTTAAAAACACAACTGGGATATTTCATTTTACAAGAAATATATTTGATTTATTGTTTTAAACATTTCAACACCCAAATCGAAAGTGTTGATTCGTATTTTATAAGTAACGCTTCGAAAAATAAATAAATTATATAATTTTACTGTGTAATTAANATAAGAAAGTTTTATTTGAATTAGTTTCTAAATTTAAATTTTTATAAAGACTTGGAGGCGGTTATTTAAAAAGATAAGTTGTTCATTCAACTATTTGAACTTTTTTAAATGAATGCATAAGTGATTTATTTATTTAAACCGACTTTCTTAAATCCAGCCGCGTCAGTATATTTTGACAAACATTTCCCGCAGCGTAATTTGTTTCCAATGATCATAATGAAATTTCATGTAGCGCCATTACTCACACAGACAATAAACAACAAGTATTGTTAACTTGTGTTCTAAGTATACCTGGCAAAGTGCAGAAATAACCGAAAAGTGCACTAGGTATAGCATAAGAGGAGGAGACAAATCATAGCTCCTGCTATAAATAGAACATTTCTGGAGATGTACAAAATCTGGCAGATCAAGAGAGTTTACTTGGAAAAGATCCAGAAAACATCCGGTACGGGTCGAATTAGTCCCAACTAATTCTAAGTGAACAAAAATGAGCGACGAACTATGCTCCGTTCATAATAGTTTAGCGTCAATATCTCCAGGCTCTACTCCGAAAACGATCGATAAAGAGTTAAAGGAGGCATTAGTTAAAAGATTGGAAACTAAAAGGTTATATCGAAGAGACAGTGACCGAGAGAAAGGGAGGAGAAATAGTAAGAAATTAAGAAGGTCAGTATCCGCCATCGAAGCCAGTAGATCACGCGAAAGACCAAGAATAAGAAGAAGTATTAGCGAAAGATGTCCGGACGAAAAACTTTTACATATTCCTAAAAGATGTAAGCAATCTTCGAGAAGAAGTCGATCGCGGCCTTCTTCCGAATTGTCAGTAGGTTCCGAATCGAGTTGTAGGACTGCTTCCAGTCAACCAGCATCCGTAGCCGAACTCGTTGCTCAAGAATTGGGTCTAAAAGAGATACCGGGCAAGGGAGCTAAAGAAGCAAGAAGAAGAAGAGCCGTTTGGGCAATTACTCTAACAAGTGTGGCATTGTTGACAGCTAGCGTCCTCCTAGTTGCCATTACATTATTATTGTCTCCGGCCGTCGATGCTCTGCGTAAGTACTACACAGATTCTTCGTATTAATTATGTTTATAACAAAAAATCGTGTAAATATAATAAATTTCAAACTTTTTAATGAATTATTTAATTTCAAATTGGAAATTTCCGTAATATTCTACTAAAAAGTCAACGAACTTTTCATTTACTTGTTCATATTTTTAGCTAAATAGTGTAATTTAAGTCGGCTTATAATTAAAGGAATATTATCCTTTATAAATAGTTTTTATAAAAATACTTTTTACCAAATTTTTAAATTATTTAATAAGTTTATTAACATATTTATAACTTTTTATATTATAAAAAGTCTTACTAATTGTTAAAAAGATTCAGTTTGTTCAAAGCCGAAAAGACAAACTTGTAATGCAAATAGTAGAAAAGAGATGTGAAGCGTGAGAAGTTGACAGAAGTTTGACAGTTAAAATATCGATTCTTGCTTTATTTCTAAAGCACATACAGCAGTAATGGAAGAGAAATATTTCATAAAGACAACGAATGTAGAGATGCTAAAGTTGTTAAAAGATTTAATTAAATTACTTCAGTCGAGAACAAAACTATTTCATTCAATCTAAGAAAAGTGTTTTCATAAAGAAGATTATTTATTATACATAAAAACTTTCTTCTTAAAAATTTGTTTCACACTTTTTCAAGAATAAATATTTTAAACTGCAAAAAACATAATAATTTTCTTTTTCATTGAAATTTGATTTTGGTTATCGTGAAAATGCAAATTTTATACTAAAAGAAAAGCTTCATTTTTCAGGCGAGTTTTAGTTGATTTTTTATTTAAAAAATATACAGTACTTCGATATTTTGTCGATATTTTTGTAAAAAAAAATTCATTAATATTTTTTGTACAGGAAACCAACGCATTTGTTTTTCTTCTTTTAATGTTTATCATAAAAGAAAATTCCCGAAAACGCAAAAGAAACATTTATAAAAAACAAACTTTTCCAAATATTAAAAAGAAATATCGAAATAAATTCTTATAATAATGTAATTTTATTCTTTAATCGTGTAGACCTTTTATAATCATTTTTTTAATTGCAATTAAACATTTTAAGTAATTATAAAATAGATGATAAATGTGTTATTTAGTGTTTTCTTTTTACGTTCCAATATCTTTTAATCTATTATTTTTCACATATGTTCTAATAAATATAGTTATTTATCTTGTTTCACACGTGTGAATGCGAATAAAAATGTTTTCGTTTCGCTTCTTTATTTAGAAACAGCGTTTGATCCTTTGACGTAGCTGTATAGGATATATAACATAATAATAAACCATGTCATTTATAAATACTTTCAAATATATATATAACATTTAACGCAGACAATTATTAACATAAACATCACTTTTTATGTTTTTATGCTTAAAATATATTTGTTACTTTCTAAATTCATGTAATAAATGAATAAAAATTAATATAATGACCAAAAATATGTTAATTTGTTTTCTTTTGAGAAATTTAGAAATAAGTAAGTGCTTGTTTCGAAAATTAAAAATACGAAAGAAAATTTAATAATTTAAAATAAAAAAAAACTGATTTTTTATCCTCTTCAAGTTTTTGACGTAATATTTTATTTTTGAATTTTTTGCTATTAAATATTGTAAAAATGGCATATTTTTAAAGAAATTCGAGACTGATTTTATTTATATAAAATTCAAAGAAAAAAATGTACTTTTATAATAATAAAACACCGAACAGTTTTCATTTTTGGAATTTAAAAATATTTAAAAAAAAAATCTAATCGTTAATTTTGGAGATTAAACCTCAAAATAAATATCAGAAATTTAAAAAATGGACAAAAAATTAATTAAGGATTATTTTAAAATATGCTTTTAGCGATTAAAAATGTGAAAAAAATTTCAAATTTTCGCAGTTTAAAAGAGAAGGAAAAAAGTAATTTAAAAGAAATTTATGCACTTTTCTCAAACTTAATCTGTGTAGAAGCTGAGTAATTCGAGAATAATAATATAATTATTTTTTAAAAAACTAATTTATCTCTAGAGTTGAATAACAAATAATGAATAAAATGATCGATTTACAAAATATTAATTAATAGAAAAATTTTGGCATAAAATTTCATAAATATCAAATTTTATTCTATAACTTTTCTTGATGAGAAAAATGAAATATAATATTTCTTTTATTTTTCTTTATTTTGTATCCTTTAAAAATTTAATAAACGTATGATAGATTTTAGTAAATTTTATAAATTTTAAGATATTAAATATTGTTTGATAGAAGAATTTCATTTAGAATTTTAAAACAATTAAATTTGTTAAGAAATAATA